TAATGGACGCTCTCAATCATATGCACAAAGCCGGTGTTGTTCATAACGACATCAAATCAAACAACGTTGTGCTGGAAAAACCTGGAGAACAATGGAATCCCGTAATTATTGATTTTGGGAAAGCGCGACGCATTGCCAACCCAAAACCATTGATGGATTTGTCACCTTCCGCACAAGAAGAATACCGGCGGTCTTACCCACATATCGCGCCAGAAATTGTTAGTGGAAAAGGACAGCAAAGTGTAGCTTCTGATGTCTTTTCTTTCGGAAAGATTGCGCTGAAAATTTTAAATTTATTGCCTACCGCAACAGCGCTTTCTCTGAAAGTGGCGAAGAAATTAACCTCTGACGATCCAGCAAAGCGCCCATCATTAAATGAATTTGCTGCTGTTCTATAGACACGGGACTTTCAATCAATTGTTACACATTGTTATACTGCGAACAATTCCAGCCGATTAGCATGAATTGACGAATTTTCATTTTTTCCATAACTCGCTTTCAGTATTATTAGCCTATTAGAACTGTCAAGACTGATGGACGATGGTATATTTCAATATGACGACACGAATTGTTGGTGTTTTACTGTGCAATAAATGCCCTTAGCACACAAACAAATTTATGCTGTCTTTGATGATGTGTATTTGCTTAAATTTATCGTGATTTGTTTAATGTTACGTTAGTCTTTGAAACAGGGGAAGGGGCTCAATTGCAAGAAAAGCGTGAATGGCCGGCTATTCCAAAAAAACTTTTCACGCGAACTAGACGAGAATCCTCGCGCTGTGGTTTTATCACGTACACTGCGTGTGCTCGTGGGAATTTATCAATGCATGAGGTGTTACCGAAAATCCCATTAACTAATTATATCAGTTATATTCTTGGTCAGGAGAATGTGAGAACTGCGTTCTTATGTTACAGGTCTTAATTGGTTGACGGTAGATTCAATCTACCGTCAGACTAATTTGCATAAATTTTTTCGCGCCTTAAAGCTCGTTATGTAGCCAAGTGACTGGTGCTCAGGTTTCTCCTGGCATGCCCAAGGCCCTCGGCTGTCAGCCAGTTTTCGTTACTATTATGCCGGCATGATGCTTGATTCTTACCCCGGCATTATAAGGTCAAAATAAGGCCAGGATAATGTGTTAAAGCCTAAGTGTGTCCCGCAGTTTCACAAAGCTGTTTCGAAGTCTCGATTTCTTGCAAGATTGAGGAAGTCTCGAAATCCCGATTTGTTTGTTTGTCTCTATAAATGACGTCTGAACGTCTTAGAGTCTGTAAGTCGCCCACTCGACTTTAAAACACTTTGAAGAGTCGGTTTTGCAATTTGAAGAAACCAAAATTATCTCGGGATCGGAACAAAAAAGAAAAAACGCTCGTGTTGTTATTTCCCAAAGTCTCGCATTTATTACGCATTTATTCATCACCCCTACTGTTCAACTGCGTCTGTTGTATTATTTTCAAGGTAACGCCTCAGCTGTGAGAACAGGTTGATCCAATCGCTTTATTCCTATTTGGACGTCTTCAAGAACAGTAATTGAGCTTAATTTAAGTTTTGTTCAAAACCAGTTCACTTGATTAAATTTGTTTGTTTCAGTAAAGTTGCATCAGAGCTGTAAAACGAGTGGAAGCCTTAAAGGAGTTCAGTCGTGGTATTTTTAGTTACTTTACAGTTACTTTGACCGCGAACAAACCTGAAAATAGTAGTTTGCTAAGGTGGAAAAACACAAAGGGATAGTAATAAGCCATACATGGTTCAAGGCTGGAGAAGATTGACATGACTTATAAACGACGAACTTTAAAAAATTAGGCTTAACTTTTTAAGATGCGCAAACCGTGACGTAGCTCCTTCAATGATCATCAAGGTTGTCATTTTTGTGGCTTTTGTTCAAGCCTTAAAAAGACAGACCTATTTTCCCGGTACCACCACACGTCATCAGTTTCGTAAAGCAAGATATTTCTGGTTAAAACTTATCAACTGTGAAAGAGCTAGTTTGCTCTATGTTGCAAAGATGTGTGATTACACATAAGCAGTGATAGTTTTATTTCACATTTACGATTATCCATAACATAGCGTGCTTTTGCTTGCTTCTCGTTGTAAAAAAAAAAAAAAAGGAAAGAAAAAGAAAAAAAACCGCACAAAAACACAAAAACATTTAACGAGGTAATTATCAGCATTGGTACACATCTTCAATTCAACAAAATCAGGGCCGCAACCAGAAAAAAGTGTGACTGAGACAATGTCGGCCATGGTTTATTTATCTTTCAAGGTATTAGGGGTGTTCATGATTACTAAAAGCAACAAACACGAAAACAATGACAATGACAATGACTCGGTTTGCCTCTTACTAGCTGAAGACCCTAAAAATAATCGAAGCCATCTTCTTCCCTTACAAGCTATTGTCTTATTTCATAACAGGATTACATAAAGAGTAGTTCATAGGTGCATAGGCTTCTTGTCACGCCCTTTCAATATTCTCAGATGATGGTTCTGTAGCTCAAACAATAAGTGAATGAAGTAATGAGGCTAATAGTGTAAACAAAGATTCCCCTTTGCAACGATTTCATCAGTTCTTTTCTTTTCTTATCTATTTTAAGAGTTCAGAGAACAAGACGTCATGGACAACACAGAAAACGTTCTTAAATCCATCTGCATAGGACTGCTTGTTGCCAATTTCCTTCTCAAGACCGGTCGTGGTCTAAAAGCCATCGAGTTGTGCAAAGAATGTGTGATTTCTCTGAATAAGAAAGTGGTGCAGAGAGAAGAGCCGTATTTCAAACTAATTAACTATTTAACCCGTCGAACAATGTTTAAGGCGTACCGTGTTATCCGTGATTACACAAATGTGATAGAATGCGGCAGAAAACTTCTTTTGATACACCGCGAACGTGGCGAAACAGCGGAAGAAAGAGAGCTTACCATAGTACTAGCAGGAATATCTGAACGTCAGTATAAACATGCAGAGGCAAAAGTGTTTTATGAACAAGCGATCAGAATCATGATGGAAACTAACGACAGAAAGGGATTAGCGGACGCATATGAAAAATTTGCGAATTTGTCTTATTGTCTCAGTGAATATGCCAAAGCCCAAGAATACTTCAACAAAGCACTTGCCATCAGAGTGAAAATTGGTGATAGAAAAGGAGAAGCATCAGATTACGCGAATCTAGGAACTGTATTTCAATCTCTTGGAAATTATGTGGAGGCCAAAGAATTTCAAGATAAAGCACTTGCGATCAGCATAGAAATTTGTGACCGGTACATAGAAGCAAGAGCTCACGGAAACCTAGGAACTGTGTTTCAATATCTTGGTGAATATGGCAAAGCTAAAGAATATTATGGGAGAGCACTTACGATCACAATGGAAATTGGTGACAGAAAAGGAGAAGCAAAAGCTTACGGAAACTTAGGAACTGTGTTTAATTCCCTCGGGGAATATGTCAAAGCTAAAGAATATCTAGAAAAGGCACTTGCCATCAACATAGAAATCGGTGACAGGAAGGCAGAAGCAGTATCCTACGCGAACCTAGGAAATGTGTTTCATTTTCTTGGTGAATATTTCAAAGCCAAAGAATGTCACGGGAAAGCGCTTCCGATCTGGATAGAAATTGGTGATAGAGACGGAGAAGCGACAGATTACGCGAATTTAGGTGCTGTGTGTCAATCTCTCGGTGAATATGTCAAGGCTAAAGAATATCTAGAAAAGGCACTTGAGATCAAAATAGAAATTGGTGAGAGAAATGGAGAAGCAGGATGCTACGGACACTTAGGATTGGTGTTTCGATCTCTCGGTGAATATGTCAAGGCCAAAGATTATCTAGAAAAGGCACTTGCAATCAAAATAAAAATTGGTGACAGAAGTGGAGAAGCAACAGATTACGGAAACCTAGGAAATGTGTTACGATGTCTTGGTGAATATACCAAGGCTACAGAATGTCTTAAAAAATCTCTTTTGATGACTCAAGATATTGGACTTGGCGAGAAAGAGTTTCAATGTCTATCTCAACTCGCGTTAGTAAAGCTAGACGAAGGAAAGATCCGGGAAGCAGTTCACTATTTGCAATTGAGCATTAAAAAAAGCGAAAATTTGCGAGGTTTTCTACACGGCAACGATCAATTTAAGATATCGTTTTCAGACGTGTGCCTGTTTTCGTACCAGCAGCTCAGTGCATTATTTGCTTCTGGTGGAAATCCTAACGATGCCCTTTATGTTGAAGAACTTGAACGGGCTAGAGCTTTAGCAGACTTGATGGCACATCAGTACTCTCTTGAAAACAAGCAAATTTCAGCTAATCCGCAGTCATGGATCGGCATTGAAAACATTATGACAAAACAAAGGAACTGTGCGTGTCTGTACATTACCTATTATGCTCAATCGCAAGTTGTGTTTCTTTGGATTCTCAAGGCAAGCGGGGTCATTCACTTCCGTCAAATAACAGCAAATGAAGACATATTTTGTGACGGATTAGTTCCTAAATTGGATGACTTTTTTACCAAAAGCTTCCGTAGCTTTGGCATTTTACCCGACAAGGATTGCGAAGATCGATCATTCAATAATGTGGAACCAAAACTAAAATCATCACAGGAAGGGAGTGATGCAGCTCTGCGACTTGTTGAGGAAGACGCCGAGGAAGGCCAACATTACGAATCGAGCCTTTCGTCGTGTTACCGAATGCTCATCAACCCTGTGGCTGACTTACTTGGCAATGAGGAGCCTGAAATTATCATTGTTCCCCATCGCTTCTTGTACAAAGTTCCATTTGCGGCATTACAGGACGCAAATGGGAAGTATTTATCAGAGACTTTAAGGCTCCGCATCGTTCCTTCGTTGACAACTCTAAAGCTCATCCAGGACAGTCCAACCGACTATCACAGTGACACTGGTGCACTGATTGTGGGTGATCCCATGGTTGGTCGGGTGTTTTACAGGGGAAGAGTTGAAAACTTCAAACCATTGGAATTTGCAAGAGCGGAAGCAAGGATGGTTGGACAACTGATGGGCGTTCAACCTCTGCTAGGAGAACAGGCAACAAAACAAGCTGTTCTTGACATGATACACGGCGTGAGTCTGGTACACTTTGCTGCACATGGTAATGCTGAAAGAGGAGAGATTGACCTTGCGCCAACTGCGACAACTGTTACTGAGCTTCCTGACGAAAAAGATTACCTATTGACCATGTCCGACATTTCCCGAGTTCAACTACGAGCGAAGCTGGTGGTACTTAGCTGCTGTCACAGTGGAGGCGGGCAGATCAGGGCTGAGGGAGTTGTTGGAATTGCTCGAGCTTTTTTAGGATCCGGAGCACGTTCAGTGCTGGTGGCACGCTGGGCGCTAGGAGACAAAGCAACAGAACAGCTTATGGGGTGTTTCTACAAGCACCTTGCTGAAGGGGAAAGTGCTAGTGAATCTCTTCACGAGGCCATGAAGTGGATGAGAGGCAACGGCTTTCCCGAGGTTGCCGACTGGGCACCGTTTATGCTGATTGGAGATAACGTGACACTTCAGTTTGGAAAGTAAGTGGAAATTTATTTTTTAGTACAGATTTTGCCATAAGGTACGAATCGACATCAAGGAGCTGGTCAGGCGACAGCTTGCAGCACTTCTCCAAAAGCTATACTCTAACGGATAAATAAAACCTCTGTTTCTCAAGTAATGCTTCAATATTGGTATCACAGAGATGCTTGATTACTTGGTAAACCAATAATCGTAATCGTTTTGGAATAATAGGGTACCATAGCAACAGTAGTAGAATCTGTTGAAAGCACCCTTAGTTCTTATAACTAAACAACGAGCTCGGTGATTCCCATCTTATTATTTTCGAATTGTGATAAGCATTGCATAATGGAAAGTTTGGAAATGTTTAAAAAAGTCTCAGGAGGGGTTTCAAAGCCATTTTTTAAATTTATTTATTTAGGTGCTAAAGTGTTTAGCACTGCTGTACTAATTGTGGATACCGAAAATAAGTAAGCAAATATTGTAAAATCCGTTTTCCTTGATGTTTTTTCGCTGCCGGTAGGAACGATCTTCGGAAGTTGATTTTCACTTCAAACGCGTACATTTATATACTCTTTCCAGGGTGGAGACACTTTGACAACGGACAAGCCCTATCGTATCGGTGTAGATGATAGACGAAAGTCATTCACAATTCACGCATGAGTGCGGACGGGGCATCGATTATGAGATCAGTGACAACAGCAAGTGTCGTTTTTAAGCTAATCCTCCTAACGCATGTTTGTTTGTTTGTTTGCTTTTACTTTAGCGTCGGAAGTCAAGTTGACTGAAATTGGAAAAGAGACCGAGAATTGGTGTTAAGAGCCTGTGAGAGGACTTGATAGAGGCTGCCAACAATGGGAGGCATTGCCTTAAAATTGACTTTGAACACAATTTGTATATAATTAATTTTTAAGTTTAATTTTTTTTCCAAACCTAGTTTGCCTTTATTTGTTTGCTTGTTTGTTTTGTCAAGCCATTGTAAGAGCGAGCAGAAATTTCACAATTTCTGGCAAGTACAAAACATAAATCAAGGCTTTATTTCAGTGATGAAATGATGAAATGTCCAGGACAATTCTAAAAGAAAAGGCTTTTCGCTTTGCCAGCTGTTAGACAAGCGATTCAGCGATTCAAGGATTTTTCTACAGTTGTTTCATTTCCATTTCATTTCTCTCTATGAAAAAAAAAAAAACAATTCAGTTAAGCCAGTTTCAATGACGTTTCTTGTGAAGAACAAATCGTCCATGCAAGCGTTTCTTGATCGGCAATACCACTCCGGTGAGCAGAGGTTAGGTGTATCACGTCTATTTCGGCCAATCAGTTCAACAGAAAAAATCATGGTGGATTATGGCATTATATAAGTGAAGATTGTTACTTGAATCGTGTTCCGAAAGTACGAAGAATCAAGCTGTTATAACTGATATCGAACTGTTGGACTCCATAAGTTGAGGTCGCAAATTGCAAAAAATAATAATTTTAATCATTCTTAGCATTTATTGTTGAAAAATAGTTTTTAGTAAGGTGTCCCTACTGTAATTAATTGACAGTTATCTCTCGATTTCGCGTTTTCCAGACGTTCACATTTTTAAATGTGTAGTAACCTAAAAGTTACTCTTAGATCTAATGACTAATTCAAGTACCAGTACTTATCTTAGGCCCAGTTCAGACGCCGAACTTTTCATGAGCCGAACCAAATACATTGAATTAAGTACATGAAAAGTTCGGCGTCTAAATCAGTTAAGAACGGCTATTTGAATTTGGAACGGCCCAGCCGTTCTTCCCGCCTAGCTCAGCCGGGAATTTCGGCTTTGGAACGGCTTTNTGCTGGTGAGGTTTATAAATGGCAGCCAAACATGTTGAGTCTTGTGCTTTTTTTATGCCAATGCTTTTAAAGTTATTGTTCACCTTAAACAAAACAAACTCAAACTTACAAAAGGATGATTCTAGATGTAACATTGTTGCCTCTGCCAATCATTCCCAGGATTTTTGACAGAGCCCATCTCGCTGGACAGCTAAAATAAAAAAGCGCTAGAGAAGTTTACGTCAGAGATTTTTCAAGTACTTGAAAAGCTGAACGAGAGCGTGAGAAAAAAGAGAAGCAAAGAGTACGGAATAGATATTCAAGCAAGTTTGCTGAAGTCAAGAATATTCTTATTTCATTCTTCCATACAAAAAGTCGGCATTATTTCACCATGAAGAGAAAACTTCTAGAAGTAACTGTTCATTTTGCATAAGAAAACAAGTCACGTTGACAGTAGTGGACCTTTGTCGTCTGTGAATTAAAAGCAGTTTACAAGTTTGACTGAACATGCTTCAATGAGCAGATGAACCTCAAAACGAGTATGCTAGAAACTGCATTAACAGCATTTTCATCGCTAGCAACATCTACAGAAGGTCAAAGACTAGATTTGTAATGCATAGTTTGGCACGAATTTACTTTCCCTTACAAAGAAATCATGGGAGTATTACATTTTAATGTTCTTCAACTCCCTTGCTGGTTTTTGCTTGTTTGTATCATTCAATTTAACACGGAATAGCTAATAACCGTTGCAAATAAACGGCCATTAACGAGTAGTTCAATGGTGCACTACCATCTAACAGAACCATTTAATTAATCAACAAAGTCATCATAAACCATGCATTAGCTAACAGAAATGTAAAAAATAGTGTGAAATTTCTTCCAATACTCTTAATTCTTATTCAGTCAGGGGTGAGATTGTAGATTAAAGAAAGATCGCGTGAGTCATGGCACAAGAACTTTCGGAACACGCCTGGACACATGTAATGTAACCTTTTAATTTCTAACTGAGAATGAAAACAGATGACGTAAAGAATTGTTTGAGCTTAAGCTTTTTGTTTCTAGAACAAACGTCATTTAGACTATGGAAGAACCTGGACTTGTTGCCAAGATATTTTGACCGACCGCACAAAACGGTTTTACTACAGAAGTTACGGTCCATTCGCAAGTCGATGTTTGTGGGACTGAGTTTGACAAATTTTGCAAAGTTTCCAATTTTTTAAAGTTTTTCGAAAGAAGATCTGTAATTTCCCGGACACCTAGAGACATTGCCGAAAGGTAAGATAAAACCTTAATTCATTATAATGGTCGTTTGAGTTTGAAGCCTTCATTGCACACAAAGCTGCACAGAAAAACTCAAATTACAGACCTCAACCGTGGAAAAACATAACAGAAATTATATTTATCAGTGTTCTTCTAGTTATTTTATTTTGTATAGGAAACTTTTAATATTTGAAATATGCTGACTTTTATTTACTGCTTTCTGTTAGTTATTAATATTTCATGTAGGGCTTAAGATCTCGGCAGATTTTCCGTCACATTCACGTTCAAAAATCGATGCGTCATCTCAGACATCTCAACTTTTTTAAAAAGTCAAATTGAAATGACAGGTCAGTAAAATCGCGCGCCTCATTCTTTTAGAATTATGGTTTAGTGAGAGTAAAACTTGACAAGGTAGTTATTTATAGATTTAATTGATTAGTAACTGAACCGAGGAATGCAAATATCGGCTGCAAATGCAAAACGCAATTTTGTTATTTGTAGACTTGTTTGAAAAGATACGTGGCAAAAGAAACTCTGGTCTGCAGGATAAAAATATCCTCTAACTAGTTTTTCTTTCTTTCTTTTCTTTTTTAATTTTAAATTTTTAGTTTAAGTCTTCTTTTCTTGTCGGTATTATGTTCTATAATTAAAAGCTCTTTTTACCTTTGCATAAGTGTGTGTTAACCTGTCAAAATAGACCGGTCTGTTGCACGACACCTTTATATAACTCCACTTAACCGTGCAAAGGCTTAAGTTCCTTCTCTAATTTCTAAAGCTCCATCGAATTGCACAATGTCAGGCAATTTAATTCGGCGATTGTACCAGAGAGACGCGTAACAGCGGTGGTCAAGCTCAACCAAATCTGCCTCATAAGATCATCTTAACGTTTGTACATCTACTCTAAGCAAATTTTACGCACAGCTCATCTTTTTCATTAATTAGGGTCGTCGTCACTTTCTTTTATGAGGTACAATAAGGTGGCTATTTTCGGATCATCTTACTACGTCCGAAATAAATAAAGTGGTCTGAATTTGACATATTGCCTGTTTGGTGACGCAGATAACCGCTTTACGTTTGAAGAGTGATTAAATAGTAATGTTCGGTACAACACTTGAAGCACATAAAAAAGAAAAAAATGGCATTTTATAACATCTTTCACAATTCGGCTACCTCGAAAAATATATACATGCGTGTTTTGTTTACTACAGACCACGAGTGAGCATATCATTGTAGCAGCATCCCGCGGCGGAAGTTAATTCACCGCACTACAAAAAGCACGAGGCAGGTGTTTGGTACGTCCAGTATGCAAATAGAGTGCTGTTGTCGAATACAGAACACTTGATGCGTGCTTCAGTTTGAATGCAGCACTCCCTCTTGCCTTGAGCGACCAGTGTTGTTAATTCCAAATCATTGACGCCATTCGTCTTTCCACAGGTCTAAATGGAGTTTTGGTGGATCGTCTTGGCTGGATGCGGCGGAGGCCTACTCTTGGCCGCTTACGTGGCCGTGGTCGTGTATAAATTATTTCGACGCAAGAAGAGGTGAGACTGCTGCTACTAGTGTTAAGCTTTGTGCTACTGTTAAAATTCTTAGGTTGTTGGTTGACTTTAATACCTTTTCAATATTGACGACTTTATGACACAACTAATGATTTAGGCATGGTCATCTTCAAGCGCTTTTAAGGACGTTAGCATTTCAAGAAGATTTTGGAAAAAGTAATAATAATGATAACTGCAAAAACTTTAAGAGATAATAATCAATCTATTCAGATCCTTAACTATTCCGGCTTTCCAAAGGTAAGTCTATTATCATACTCCACAATTTACAGAAAAACGTTGAATGTAAGCATGCGTGGGTAAATGAGGTTCACTCCATGTACCTGCGGACAAAGCGCAAGTTTACCTTACGAAGCCTACCGAAAACTAAATTCCTTCGTGTAAGCAGTCACAGACAGCAGTTTCGGCTTTCTTTGGTCACGTAGGTATTCAGCTGATATTGGTGCGGTGCCGAAAAATTTAAATAAAATCACTCAGAATGCCGAAACTAAATTTAACCTTTAACCGCATGATAACAATTCACAGGGTGCTTACGTTGTGTTTTTTGTGGATAACGTTATTCCCAGCTAGCTTTCATAGAAGAGAGATTAATAAACAACACTCAGATCATGATTGCCGTGCCAGAGCTTGTTCATTCGAAAAATTACTGCTTTTGATGAGCTACTAAGACGCATAAATATGGGATGAGGAAACCATAGATGCCCTGCTTACCAAATCCAATACAGGTCTTGCAGTTTTCCCACTAACATTTAATTATTGCCTTCTGCGTATTTTTGCAGGGTGCAGATGAACCAATATCAGCACCCTGAACGTCTTACAGATGACAAAGATTGGACTACCCATGTCCATGCAAGAGAGGTTTCGGAGAGGAGGGCGGACGGCCTATGCATGGAAACTCTATCAGGGTCAACCAAACTTGGTCGAAAAGCGTCCATCCCGTCCGTTAACCAGTTCCTAGGGGCTTCGGAGGAGGTTCCAAATGCCTCGCACACAAATTCCGACGATAAACGAAAAGGACGTAGCAAGAGTCCAGGCCCGGAACCACAAGCATCGGCAGGTTTTAACCAAGACACTTCGCCTTATGTAGTGCCTGCGGCTGAAAGAAGCAGCCCCGAGGTTGTTCGAAGGTCTGAATACACCTGGGAGACTCTGCTATGTCAACCCAGCGATTTCAGAATTAAACGAAGTCAATCGTTTAACTGGGACGATCCTGAATACAGAAAACCCAAATGCAAGACTCGTTCCTTGAAGCTTGCAAGTGACAAGCAAGGTCAAGTGAAAAGAACTGTTCGGAGCAAATCTCTCAGAAGATATACGCATCGTGAATTGACCGTCTCAGGTGCTGCCGAAACAGCACCATTCGATAAAATTGTCATCTCCGTGAAAAGAGGGGACGACAACGCGAAACGAAACAAATCGAAGAAGAGCCCTAAGACTCAAAAAACTGTCAACGAACCAGGAAACAAAGTGACTAAAGCCGAAGGCACCACTAAAAATAAAAAGATCAACAGATCGGGGTCTGCACCATCTGCGAGGGCCAAGGAAAAGCTTGCTAACACTGAAGTAGAAGGCAGCCTAAATCGACGACATTCCTCTCGATGGATTCCAGATCCTGATTACCAAACTGTGTCGATGGAGGAGCTCGTTTCAGCAGCTGAGCAACAAGTCAAAGCCACCAGAAATGATAACGTGTGTGTAGTGGAGATCCACAACGTGCCAAGAGATCGAGATCCAAAGGTTAGTACATTAGTGGGAACTGCCACGTCTCAAGTGGTCGACACATCATCGAGCACCTCCATTCAACAGTCAAGTCCATCACATGAAGATCAAACGAACTGTAGCACCACAGTTGATGTGAAAACAATACCAATACCCGGTGTTGCCCAAAGGGTACCAACAGTTCTGCCGAACGATCAGAGCCCTGACAAAAACGAAGAGACAAATGTCTCTAACAAGAATACTCACGACAGAAGATTATCCGTCAAAAACCGTATTCAAAACCTCGAGACTCAGATTGTCGATGTACAGTCAAATACTCGCCACCCCCAAGGAACAGACCCAACTAAACATTACACGATGGTTATAGAAGCCCCACTGACAATCGACATCAACAATAATTCCCAGACGTTGCCGAACTGGAGACAGAAACAAACTGCACGAGAGGCGAGAAACGAGCCAACCAACGAGAGCAATCAAATTGGTCAGCCATCGTTGAAAGCTAAGCCAAAAGTCGGGTCGATAGGCAAATTAACCCTCGTCAAACATGTGGAAACGCCCGCTCGAGGAGGAAACCCTGAAATAACTCCTGAAAACCCCACAAGAGAGGATCCCACAAAGAGTTTTGAAAATGCTTCGTCGATCCAGATGAGGCAACTAACAGATACATCATCGCCAAGAAATGCGACTTTGCTCGTAAGGAATTCCGACGAGCAACGGGAAAACGACACCTCACATGTACCAGTCTGTGCAGCACCACCAGCACCGCCACCACAACCTTTCACAGTGGATTCACAGTCTTCCCGCCAAGTCCTGGGCAATGAAGTCAAGATAACTATTGTACCAAAAGACAGACAAGACGCGACCTCCGTGTTAAATGGGGCAAACGCGCCAATAGCAAGAGACACAGACACGAATCTCACTTTAGAAGAAAGGAAGAAGACCTGGAAGCGGGAGCAAATTTTGGATCAGCTCCACAGCGCCCGCGCAAGGAATGGAAACCAGAACTACATATTTGGCACAGGGTTGGCGTACCAGTCGTGCATGCCTGAACTACAAAATAAACTCAATCAGCTTACGCTTGCAAAATGATTTAGTGCAAACTGATTATTACCGCCGGGGTGAATCAAATTAAGATATAAAAACTAGTGTAATCTTTGACGAATTATTCGTCCTGCTGCATAGCTTACGGTCAAGCTCCAATTTATTAAGATTCTGTTGTTTAAAGTTTGGTCTTGATTGGATATGGGTGTAGTAATAGCAAGTGAGATTTTCCGTCATGAGTAAGATGCTCCCAAAGAACTTTTGTAGTATTTTCTTTGAACATTGTTTTCTAATATATGCGAATGAACAGTCTAAATTGTGAATATTGCAACCAGGATCGAGAAGCTTCATTGAGATTCGCGCTTGGGAGCAGGAGTTTAAACACACACTGACTTTTAAGGTGGCTCCACAGGGTAATCATTTATGTCGTTGCGCGCGCAAGTGTTATGTTTTAATACTGTTTTTGCATTCGCTTTCACACCTAGTCCTCTCAAACTTATTACACGTAATAACCAATGTTTAAATAGTATTTTGCTATCATCTCTGTTAAAATTTTGGAATTCAGTCTTGAATTATAAATGCCCAAACAAATGTGTTTTTTACTGTTTTTATGGCTTTATTTGTGATTTTCATGAATTTCCTTCAGTGAAATCTTCCAAAATTGTTACATCACATCGCTTCCAGTGGGATACGAATTTTAAACACGAAAAAAACAGGGTTTGTAAGGCAGTTTTTTCGATATTTTCAAATTCATGTGTTTTACCCCTGCAAAAAATCTGGTCTTATAGATTTCCCTGAAAAACGAGCTCCGACTTAACTAAAATATTTACTACCAATCTGCCAAATTTAACGGAATTTCACCGAAGGAAACGCGAGAAAATTCAATGTCAGTTTTGCTTTTTTGTGCTCATGTTGACGTAATAAAATATCAAAAAACACTGACGTTTTCCTTTGAGCGCGCGCAGATTACCTTCTCAGCGCGCGTGCGGTCGTAAAACTATAGGGAGCCACCTTAAACGATCTAGAGCGAGAGCTTTTGCGGTACCTTTTAGAGTTTTGAGCCCCATAAAAGATGACAGGAGATAATATGCTGTTTTAGAATTGGTACCTGTACGTTAGGGTGAACAAAAATTCAAGCCACGTCTACAAAACAAGACCTTGGTACCTCTTAGGGGTTCTTCTCGAAATCTTCGCCGATCACCCCTGCTCTTTTTGCATGGAAGTCCCCGCGGGAGAGGAGTACTGCGACAGCGTGCATTAAACAGCATTGCATTTAGAATTTACTTTTTTTTCAGATAATGTAAAAGCCTATAAAAAGCTAGCACAAATACCCCCATAGGTCGAGACGTCTTTAATCTTACACCATATATAAACCAAAGTTTCCATTTATCGCGAAAATATGCTCGGATATTTGTCCGGAGACATTATATCGCTTCTTGGTGATTTGCTTCTGATTTCGGTAAGTGGACAGTTCTTGAGAGCGCAGNTGTGCTCATGTTGACGTAATAAAATATCGAAAAACACTGACGTTTTCCTTTGAGCGCGCGCAGATTACCTTCTCAGCGCTCGTGCGGTCGTAAAACTATAGGGAGCCACCTTAAACGATCTACAGCGAGAGCTTTTGCAGTACCTTTTAGGGTTTTGAGCCCCATAACATATGACAGGAGATAATATGCTGTTTTACAATTGGTACCTGTTAGGGTGAACAAAAATTCAAGCCACGTCTACAACACAAGACCTTGGTACCTCTTAGGGGTTCTTCTCGAAATCTTTGCCGATCACCCCTGCTCTTTTTTCATGGAAGTCCCCGCGGGAGAGGAGTACTACGACAGCGTGTATTCAACAGCATTGCATTTGGAATTTACTTTTTTTTCAGATAATGTAAAAGCATGTAAAAAGCTAGCATAAATACCCCCATAGGTCGAGACGTCTTTAATCTTACACCAGATATAAACCAAAGTTTCCATTTATCGCGAAAATATGCTCGGATATTTGTCCGGAGACATTATATCGCTTCTTGGTGATTTGCTTCTGATTTCGGTAAGTGGACAGTTCTTGAGAGCGCAGCACGAGACAAATTGTGAGCTTTGAGGAACAGCAGGAGCCCATCCTGGGAATAATGTCCAAGGACAAATATCAGAGCTTATAATCCATCAAATATTTTCGCTCGCGTGCGATTGGTCTAGACGCATCACGTGACCGAGTTTTTCCTTATCTAAAACTGGGAATATCCGAGGATATCTCTCAATTTTCAAAACTGCGCGTGTTGCGAAAAATATTTGAAGGATAATAAACACAATAGCCTCAATTTGGCGCAAAAATATGCTTGGATATCTGTCCTTGGAAATTATCTGTTCCTCAAATCTCTCAGTTTTCCCACACTCTCGGAAACCTGTTCGCTTATCGGAACAGATAATGTCCGCGGACAAATATCCAAGCATTTTTTCGCGCCAAAAGGAGGTTACTGTTTACATATTTGTGGGACAAAGTTCTCGATGATGTTTGTTTGTCCAGAGCAAGTGAAGAATAAATCGGCCACGCAAGCGTTTCTCGATCGTTTGGCAATATCACCACGGAAGGTGGAGGCTAGGTGTATCGCGTCACCTATTTCCGAAAATAGTGTTTTTCATTTGGTAAAGCAGTCATTGCGGAAGTAGTTGTATGTAATATACTATAGTTCGCTAGAAGCGGGATTTCCCAAGTCAAAATTTAGAATGGTCTTTGACTGTTTTGGCAGTCTTGTTGGGAAAGTACAAATGACCAAGCTGCTATATATTATTGCTTTGCTGTTGGATTTCATCTCTTGACAAAGAAACATTGATTTCAATAAGAAGAGGACGCAAACTGTAAAAAGGCCAGAGTTAATTTACAACTGACCCATTCTTAATGTTGTACTTTCGTTTTCAGATAATATAAAAGCATAACAGCTACCATAATTACTCTCGTGAGGAAACGCGCATAATTCTAGGCCATATTGCACGACAGAACAACAACCACCATTTATTTGTACTCAAAATTTGTAATCAGAACCCTGATTTTAATGTGCGCACAAGCAGTGCACTTGCCAAAACTAACCCCTGCAATCAGTAAATACATGTACTCAGCTCAACTTTGCAACGCACCAGTTCAAGATATATTTGAACGTCTAAACTTAGCTTGCTAGTAATTTCTCTTAGGAAGGTTTATTATACTCTGGTGCTTTAAGCAAAATTTCTGTGCCGCTTTGCGGGTACGTTCACAGTTATCTGGCGGTTTACGTATAAGAGATAATAGAGAGATTAAGCATGACGTTACGTCAAACGGCAAACGGCAAAAATGAAACTCTGCCGTGTCTTCAGCTGTCTACACAGTAGAGTGAAAATAATTGTATTTGCGGTGGTAGAAGACATTTTTCGATTTTTGTGTGATTTAGTTAAGGATTTGAAGAAAAGACTCACAAATTTAGAGGTAATCTTTGCCGTTTGCCGTCTACTGTAAACGTCATGCTTTTTAAAATATATATTTTTGTTTTACCCAAGTCGCGCTACCACTGCTTCAGTCTGTTTTCCCGACGGTTAAATTAAAATTGACTTGGTGTTTTCTCATACATTTTGTTAAAAATGCTATTAAGAAGAGTTCATAAATAGTTTCCATAATCTAGGCTATTTTTTTCCCCAACAATGTCAGAGAGGAATGAAATTATTCAGCCATTAAGTTTACAGACGGCCATCACTGTAGGCGATTTCCGCGTTTCCTCTCGCCTCTTGCCTCAAAACGAGTCTTCCTGTTTTCCAGTCAAACGAAAATGAGTTTGATTTACCTGTAAATCTGAACGTGTAAGTGAAAGATAGTTTCTTAAACGAAGTTCCGCACGAGGACTCGTTTTGGCACAAAGGTGAAGGCAATTCGGAAATAACTCACTGTTGTGTAAAGATGGATAACAAGTTAATAATAGCTGAGGTCCTACAGTAAAAACAAGTTTTCAGTTGTGCAGTTTAAATCGACCCATTCCGTACGGCTTCGTTCTGTACCTTTCCACCCATCGTCGCTTTCTTCTTTTTCAAAGCCTTCTGCAAGCGACTCATATCGGCAAACAGGTTTCTTCCGAGGACAGCCGAGGCAGTGATCATACCACTGAACATTGCTCCGGCGAACCCGCAGCTAAGGATATCTTGCCCGGTGAGATAGAGCCCGGGGATGGACGTTTCCGGTCGGAGCTTTACAGCAGCCTGGGGACTGAACCGGTCCACGTGATGGTCAATCCCGTAGATCTCCCCTCGGGGCGCCGCGATGTAGTACTTGTTACTCAGCGGGCTGCCGACATCGAAGAAATCGACGCGGTCACGCACCTGAGGGAAGAACTTGCAGGTCTGTTCCCAGATGCGCTTACCGATACGGTTTTTGATCTCCTCGTACTCCTCGCCTCGCTTCATAACCCGCTCGTTCTCCCAGCGTTCAAACCACTCATACGGGGATAAGGTAATGATCGTACAAGTCGTCTTGCCCGGGTAGCGAGTCTCCCACTCGGGGTCCTTGGTGGATGGGAAGGAAATGAACAACAACGGGATGTCTTTAGTGCCGGCGGTATCG